AACATTGCAGTGAGCTTGGGAATTGCTATTGGATCAATTTTGGCTTCCTCTTCCTATTCTTTCTGAGTTGTATTTGGCTCAGAAAAAAGTGCTATCCCCCCCCGCCCCCCATTCTTGCTCCATGACTGTGTGTATGTGCTGTAAGACAGTTCTGAACTTTTTTAAAAAAATACAGTTGCAGTTATATGAAGAAATAGTGTATAACCGTAGCATATAATGCATGCTCTGTTGTTATTGAGCAAGAACATACTTAACATATAACTTATTCTCTCTGACTTTGCATATTGTAAAATGTGGTTTAATTATGTTAATCATCAAGAACCATATACAAATTTATTTTTCTGGTGTATTCCAACCACAACAGTAAAAGTAACAGAGATGAGGAGAAAGAAAGATTGCCAAGCATAAATCTTTTTTAATCAACCAATGCTTTAAGATACAATGGAAGAAGAGATCATAATTAGATCATTAAATTTGTAGACCTTACTGTAATAATTAGCTATCATGGGATTTACAAATTATCTGTAACCTCTTTGGCAAAATAAACATTATCAGAAGCACTGCACAAAAATAGATTTATGACCATATAATTTGGATCCCTCTCCCGCCCAATGTTCTGGGCATCCTTTCTAGGGATTTAAATGTGTTTAAGTTGTGAAACATCTGTGTTTACTCCATTAGAAAACCATAAATTGCATTTTATGGATTAAAACAGGCACAACACTTAAAGCTGAACACTTGAGGATAACTCATTATCAAAGAAATTAAAGAAACCTAAAATGATAATGGATATTTGATAATGTGGCAATTCCTGTAATGTGTTCATTGACTCCCCCTCCTATTTCCCCACAACATGTATCCAAGTCTCCTGCTGTTCCATTCCTTTCAAAATCCCTTGCATCAACACAATTCTGAGAATACAGGCATAAGATTGCAAACCTCGTACAAAGCCAGACCATTGTCGACTCTCTAGCATCTGAAGCAGGAATCTTAACCCTTTAAACTGAAGATAGCGCTGAACCTGGAATTTTCTTAATTCAAATTCCCTCTTCAAATAATCAGTTCTAGAACTTCTGGTACATTTGCCTGAATGGTTGTATGTGCTTGCCTGAATCCTCCAACTCTGTCACTCACCTGAGACCTTAACTTATCATCCCTGACTTAGTTTTGATTTTGTTGTGTCCTCCAAGCCATACCCCACTGTTTTTTAGATCCAACTGAGTTACAAATGGTGGGGAGGGGCAGAAATATTGTAAGACCCAAAATAGCAGACAGACTTTGCTTTGATAGTCCTCAAAGAGATTTCAACGAGATGCATACTGAAGACCTTTCTAGGCACATTATTTATTTGTTTTTTGGCACCAGGCGAAGACCTTTTTATTCAAATGTTATTTTAATTGTTAATATTATTTATTCATTTTATTCTTTGGCCAGGGCGACTTAATTTATATTGTTAATTTATATTGTTTTATTGAATTCTATTTATTTATGGTTTGTGAGCCACCCCAAGGCTTCGGCGAATGGGGTGGCATAGAAGTTCCCTAAATAAACAAACAAACAAATAATTACAGACACTGATGAGTTGAAAGATCAGACTTCAGATCCAAGACAATGCACCCAAGGGGCACTAGTGAAAGGTGGCAGCCGCAATGCCATTTTAGAGAACCACTGTTGAAGGTCCTTACTACCAAAAGAAGCAATATTGTAGACGTGTCCCACTCGTTACTCTTTTCCTAAGGAGCAGCCATTGAAGAAAACGATCAAGTTCAGAGCACAAGAACAATTATGCTGTAACAGACATAAGCTTCTGATAGTTACAGATTCCATGATGTGCGAGGTTATAAATTTGTCTTACTGGCATGGATAACAGTTACCTTAACTATGTCCTTGATGCAAAAAGTTTGGGATGCAAATTTACATCTGATAGTTGTATGCCTTCATAGAGAAAACAGGTTTTTTTAAATGGCCTTTCCCCACAGTTAACTTTTGGTGCCTCTGAGATCAGGTTGTGAAGCTCTTTTGTTCATGCTTTTAATTTCCTCTTTACAGTGACTTCTCCCTAATTATGCTATTCTTTCCTGGAAAGAAACGTGTTCAGAGCTGCAACTTATTCTCCACTGTCAGAAAAAATATTCAGCCATGGCTTCCAAACCTCCAGTGTCCAAAAAAATCACCACCAAGCCTCTTTTTAAGCCATTCAGTAGAGCGCTTCATAATAGCTTTATTATCCCTTTGTTCTGATTTACAAAGCGTCTCCAGCGCTGAATCCCATAGCAACTGATTTTGCTCACGAGTAGGGCTGTAGCAGCATACAAATGGATAAGGCTTATTATGACACTCAGAACTTCCTTTTCCTAGTGCCAGATTGTGCGTTTTACATCTTGCCAAAGTCAAGAAGGCAAGAACACCACTAGCCAAAAGCAAAGACATCCAAATAAGAAAAAATAGATGGAAACAGAGGGAACACTCAATTTGATACTCCCACAATCCTTACCTAAATTAGCAGGAAAAGAAAGCCGTCTGCATAAACTTGCTATTATATGGTGTACAATGCTAAACTGCTGTGAAAGGCACTATCAGATTTAAAACGAGTATATGATTCCTGAGCGATCCAAGGTGGAGTTTTCAACTTCATTCTGAATGATTATCAAAGTATTGGAACTCAGATAGAGAAGGCATCAACCATCTGCACTTTTATACCACAGAAAATTGATGCTCACCAGCATTGCTGTGAATCTCCCAAGATTGCACTGCATCAAAACACAGATTATGAATTTTAAAAATGAACAGAATCAAGAAGGCATCTATGTTTGGCTTGCTTACTCCTGCAATACCTATGTGTGCACCTGCTTGTATAAAAGAAGAAGATAGAGAAAGCAGGGCCTCATCACCAGGTCAGGTGAGAGACAAGCCATTTTGGCTCCTCGGCTGCTTCTTCAACCGCTTCCACTCCAGGTAGTTGTGATAAAAAGATCAACAACATCCAGTTGCATAATAACCATCACTTGTATCCTACCGATGGTCAGAATGAGGTCCTTATGAATTGGTACCTAATTCTTGTTTTCCTTCTGCACAATTCTTATCCTGTTTATGTCACATCATTTTAGATTCTAACCTTGTCTTTAAAAAATTGTTTGCCACTCTGGGACCCTTTCCAGGTAAGGGGCAGGGGACCAATGTTCTATCTACAGTTAGAAATATATTCATGCAGAGATATACACAAAGGAAATCTATGTAAAAAATTGTGTCAAAAGCATTTGTGCACCTGCACAAGGAAATGCCCATGAATATGGCCGGTTCATTTCTTAATGTCACTTACAACTCCCTCCTTCCACTGTTTGTAACATAACAAATTGGTTAAGAAAACTAACCAAGTGTAGTGATGTGCTATCACTTAGTTGCTGCCACACAGCCATAAAGTGGTAGGTTTATACACAAGAAGGTATCTTCTTTCACCCATCACTGGAGTATGTTTTAAATTGCCCTTAGAACAGTTTTGAATTATAAAAATGTATTTTGCATTGTGTCAAGTGAAGGACAACACTCAGCCAACCCTGCTCAACACAAAGTATGCACACAAGTGTCTTGGGAATAATAGGGGGTTTTAAAGGATGTTTTTTTTTAAAAAAAGTCCCTCAAGTGTAACAGCTACACTCTTTGTTCCTTTCTGAATAAGGTTTGTCAGAGACTGAATAAGGTTTGTATGCTGCCAAACAGTCTAACTCTGTGTGCTGGCTCATAAAACACTGTGAGAGCTCTGATTTGTGCTACCTGTTAAAATTTTCACAAAGTCATAAAAGAACCTACATATCCATGTAGACAATACTCCCCAAGAAGGAAAATAATTGTCCATTTCCTTGCTGATTTTTATAAAAAGCATTAATACAAAATACCTTTAATAACTAATACTCCATATTCAACAGCTCAAACTGACCTAGCTTCCAAGTAACAACTACCTCTTTACAGAAAGTAAACTTCCTCATTCTCCCCCCTCACAATGGCTTTCCAGTTTTAAAACCTATAAAACTGGAAAAAAAGAAGATTGATTGAGCTGAACTGTGTGCTTAGATTTCTGCTTCTGTGAACACTTGATACAGCTGCAAAATGTACCCACTTCTTACCTTCGGGTGGGGGGATAGGTAAGAAAAAAGGGGGAAATAAATAGGTAAATAAGCCTCAGCTCCACCCCCCCCCCCCCCCCCCCATTAACATCCTATTAAGAATGAATACTTTTTCAGACAAGAAGAAACGTTTACAGGATCACCTAGCATAACTTCAGCTCTCTTACAAGACTGCTTTTCTCTGCATTTGCTTTACAAGCCTAATTCATCCAACAAACCTAAGAAAGTAACCTGAATTTAGTATTCCACACAGGTCTCTACAGAGACGGCATCTTCAAAAAGTGAAAGCTTCTACCGGTAGTATAGCTGTGCATATAGAATTGTGCGACTCACTTTAAAATTGAACATTATTTAATTATTTAGCACAGATACAAAAAGAGCCAGATTTCAGGATATTACAGTTAAAACCATACATATTTTAAGAGGCATAAATAATTTATCTACTAAAATGATCAAACTGGAAGAACGACCAAAAGGTCATCCAATCATATGTTACCACATAATTCTGTTTGTGTGACTGTAAATACCCGGAGCGCTCTTTGAATTTCCATACGCTACAGAACTGCATTTATTTTTCACACAGTTTTCTTAGTCCAGTCCTTGGGAAAAAGGAGCTAAATCCAACAGATTCCTAAATCATGCTATTTCATCACCTCTATGGTTTTCACAGTGAGTATTTTTGCTGTCAGTTTTTACTCTAGGTTCATTATCAAGTGGCACAGATAAGGTAACAAAAATGATTTTGTCTCTGCTAAAAAACCTCAGGAGAAAAAAAATTCTCCTCTGGAACACAGTTTGTCACAGAAAGATTTAAAAACTCCATTACACACGTCAATCAATCACAGAGAAACAACAAAACAACTCTTACGCACGACCTACCTAATGCTGTTCATGCTTCCAGTCTCAGATGCAAGTTTACATCTCTCCAGCTGGCTGGCTACAATCTGGCGCTCAGCCTCAAGTTCTCGGGTAAGTCTTTCAAACTGTAATTCCTGCAACACAGAACACAGACATTCAGGTTGTGGGCTTGGTGAAAAGCACAAGATGCAATACTCAGCCTGCTTGCTTCTTACTGGTGGCAGGAAAGCTCCCAGATCCTTCTGTCGCACATGTAAAGTTGCCAGTGCTTTATTTTTATTTTATTTTATTTAAAAATTTCTATGCTGCCCCATTCGCCGAAGCCTCGGGGAGGCTTACAAAACAACAATTAAAATATAAAACACTAAAAATATAAAACACATTAACATTATAAAATAAGTCGCCCTGGCCAAAGAATTAAGCAAATAATATTAGCAATTAAAATGACGTTTGAATAAAAAGGTCTTCGCCTGGCGCCGAAAAACAAATAACGACGGCACCAGGCGGACCTCTCTGGGGAGCGCATTCCATAGTGCTTGACTGCAATAAAACATAAATGCCCAGTTCCTGGGCAACCCTGCTAGAATCTGACTTGTGCCAGGCAAGCTGGGTGCATCCGATGGCAGGATCAACCTTGTGCAATGTCCCCAGCCAGTTCCAACAGCAAATGGTCCCACGGCCAAGCTGCTCCCATGAGTCTGTTCTCCTCTTCTGCTTTTGCGTTGGGTCATTTCCCCCTTGTGACATGCTGCATTGCTTACATCCAGGATCTGCCTCCAGGAACAGAAGGGCTCTGGTCATACAAGCCACTTCTGCTCGGTTTCCAGGGATCCCTCTCCGCACAGACCTCCTACACACAATGCGGCAGGTTCTCCCAGGCCCCATGGAGTGTTTTAGCGGGCTAGAAAGGTTACTGTGGGCAGAAGGGAGAGGAGGTCTGCTTCCAGCTGTCAAATTAGATGCAACTAGACCCAGATCCAACACATGGATCATTTCTATGATAAAAAATAGCTATTATATCACACGTTACTCTTACTTTTTATTCAAGAACTCACTGTTGCAATCTGATTTTGCATTATAATGTGAACGGCTTTATACAAGTGCATTTTTACCAGTGAGGTAGCCTTTTCTAAAGAATACACACTGGGGCATTTTGCATCATCACCACCCTGTGTAGGTGGCCATTTTGCATATTCAGCCTTCAGTGGGGAGCTGCTGAAGTTTCCTATGTTGTCTGAAGCAGGGCAGCAGGGATTGTCTGAGAATTGAACAGCCCTCAACTCTCCCTGCACCAAACCATTTGCTATCTGAAGATTGCTGAGGGTGGAGTTGACACCCTAGGTTCATTTTTTCATTGGCTTGCATGTCATATGAATCTGACCAGAGAGCTTCAGCTATCAGGTAGCATAGGGATATATAAACAGAAAGGAAAAAAAGCAATGCACAGAGGCTTAGCTTGGCTTCTTAAGCACAGACGACCCACACTGAGAACCTGTGGCCCCTCGTTGCGACACTCACAGTAGTTTATTTTCAGAGTGGCTTGCCACGCCATGGGAACCCAGCACCATGGGCTTGTACATGGCAGAGTCAAAGAGCATCTCCAGCAAGGTAAGGCCAACTCAGGCTGGAGACAAAGATGGAAGTGCAAACAAACTGGAACTGGGAAGGGTTCAGGTGAGGCAATGCTGGCAGCCAGAGCAGGAGGGAATCACCAGGACAGCTTGTGTGGCTGCGATAAGGAGCAGGAGTGTGGCAAAGCCGTTGATGCCTCCCACTGCACCGCATCCTTGCTACACGCCTGTTCCCGGCGTGTTCCTGCTCTGCAGGCGCTTGCAGGGTGAACCAGGTTCTGGCCCTGACAAGAGGGGAGACAGAACACATGATCCATTGCTGGTAAGGATCTGGAAACCCTGATAGGAAACCGAATGCCACAGGCAGGGGAGAGGGAATAAAAGCAGCTTCCCTGGAAGATGAAGCAAATCTAGCACAGAACCAGAATGACGCACAACAACAAAACCTCAACAGAAGAAAGAACATGCTTGGTTTGACCTTCATTGCTAGACTGGTATTTTCAGTCAGCAGTTGGAGTGTGGGAAAAAGTTTCTATCTGGAACCTGCAAAGGCAAAACACACACCTGGAACGTGTGGTGGACCAATATCAACAAGGTGCTGACAGAGCAAAGCTGCAGGGACTCATGGGATATGGGTTATGCCATGGCATGTGTGAAGTGGGAGAAGGAGTATGAGAGGGGAAAAAGCCCAGGACACACCAAGGACGGCCTGATTATCTTAGAGCAGCACTGTAGATTCAGCCAACCCACCATTGCTTATTTCTACCATGACTTCTGACCTTCTAACAGGCCCAACAGCAAAACAAATGAATAAATACGTTGAGGCAGCTGAGAGAGATACTAGCTTTTCTGGCGGTGGTAGTTACTTCCTGCTACAATGGGATTTTTAGTGGTTTAAGCTGATAAATAATGATAGCAACGCTGTTCACAAGTTTGGCTGCAGAGATTGTGGCAGCAGTTTAAAGGAAACAGCAATGGTAAAAATAACTAAGTAAGTGAGAATTTCCTTCAAAAATAAAATCTCTTCAGGCAGGCTATATTCAGCAAAGCTTGGTTCCAAAGCATGTCAGCAGATGTCTGATTATCTCATGATTTAGAGAGTGATGCTCGGCATATGCTAGTTATCATCCTATCAGAGCGGAAAGGGTTTCCACTGATTATCCTCATTAGTAGAATTGTTTCCTGCATGCGGGGGTTCCCCTTCTTTCAGAATTCACTCCAACAGAATTAAATTCCAGCATTCCTTTCCTTTACTGAAAGATTATGTTAATAAGAAACACGAAAAGCTGGGCTGTAAGATCAGTGGTCAAAGGACAGATACACGTCTTCTGCATGTCACAAGAGTCCCCAAATTATCCTTAGGCAATGGTGAATTTAATAGAAATTAACCACATGGTAGTAGAAGGCGTATGGGCCAAACTAGAGATGGTGTTTGAAACCCTTGGGCAGGATCTCTTTTTAAACAGTGGACGGCAAATATGTCCCCAGTTGGATCATGGCCATGGTGATGGGGCAGGGACAATGCTCACGTCTTTGCCTGCATGTATTCCTCTGTGAGCAAGTTCCATTTTCCAAGGGGAGTGGTCTTAATTTAGACAATGCAGAAGGGATTGACTCTCCTCTTCAAGTGCCACAGTCCCAATTTGTGGAATTGGCTGCTACTAGCCCATTGCGGCCAATCTAAATCATTGGCGGAGGAAAGAAGTCGCTCAAAGGGATGCTTAATGACACGCTTGGTTTGTGAGTTTTTCAGAGATGAACACTGCAATGCTATGTTTGCTCAGAAAATTTTTCTGAGTGTTCCTTAAATATGCTTATGAAGCCTTAGTAAGTACGTTTAGGATTGTATCTTATTAAATCTGAACAGGTGTGGTTAGAATAGCAACTAGAATAATCACTTACATATTACCTCCCTGCACAAATATTTAATAACATATTCATATGCTAACTGACATGTAAATTAATTTATATGCATGTTTAGACCGAATTAGTGTAATTTCAAGGGCCCTGCTTCCCTTTCTTACAGAGCTTTATCATTAAATTGAATTTGCATTGTGCAGTCCTTTTAATAGGGACACCTTCAAATTAATTGTCTTCTGAAAGTTGTTCAAGAAGAGGACTGTCCTCCATAAGGTAAGGTAGAAAGCCACCCTAACTCAAGTCCAGATTTCGAATTCTGTGGCTTAGGCTACATTGACTGCATATTGAGGCGGCGCCTGTATCATTTACACATGAAGACCCATCTCTCTTCAAACTCCTGATAGCTAGTCCTGACGTGCTTTTGCACCATCAGCAATCATGACAGGTTTTTGTAGCATCACGACACGCTTTAGGAGTTGGAATCCAGGCTTTACATCCTGTTAGCAGCAATACTACTCCCCAAATTAACCTACTGCCACTTACTTACTCCTAGCACCTAATTTTGCCTAGTACGTCTTCACTTTTCACTGGGAAACGCAGCATTATGTTGTTTATTCAGCAAACCAGATTATCTTTACTGTTGAGCCGTGTGTCTACAAAACTATCATTAGCCCAAACAGGTGATGTTTTATATTGTTCCTAAGCAAAAACAAATGATCCAAAGGAATGAAAATATGTGCAGTCAGACATTGATGATGGCAGAAATGAAGTCTACTATGTATACAAAAAGGCTTTACTGATTTTGTACAGTTTAACTAGAACAACGGAACAAAAGATCAGTAATGACCTTCTATTGGTTTCAATGCGGTAATCACTGAAATGAAAAAGGCGGTCTGCCAATTTTGAATGCCTGGGTACTGTGTGAGCCATGTTCCAGCGTGATATGCATTCTTTGGGAAATAGCACTGCTCAAACTATGATCCCACATAATTTCCTATGCAATAGACCTAACTGAATGAAATATCAGGCTTTCAAATATAATCACTAGTGAAAAGATACCCATAGTTCCAAGAATAAAGTCTTCACCATCAGCTTAAGTGCTCTTGTATTGTATAATATTTCCTTTCTATTTTTTCCAAGAATATGCTTCAATAAAAGAGCACCTATTGAGAACAAGACTTTTTGAGAAAGATTCCCTTTCCTTCTGGACCAGAGAGAGAGAAAGAAGAGAAAATGCTTTGTGGCACATGAGTATATTCTTATTCCTCACCTAGGAAGTGAGTCTTGCTGAGAAGAAGTCCACAGATCATGGTGCAACTTGGTGTCCTGCAACAGCAGGGTTGGCCCTGATGGCCTTCTTGGCCCCTTCCAACCTGACTATTCTATGATTCTATGAACTGCTCATGGAACTCCAGCTGTGCAACCAGCAACCTCCTTCCACAGCACGTGCAGAGCAAAGGAAGGCTGCAAGAGGGATGCCATGTGCATGGGCTTTGCATAGCTGTGCATCCTTGCGGGCAAGAATGCCTGGTGCCCTTGTCCAGAAATCAGGCGCACGGCCATGAGGAAGCACGCCAGAGTCTGGGGAACCGAGCCCTGGGAATCTGATGGAGGACTCCCACTCCCAAAACTGATTCCTCACTCTTCCTCTACTTTATATTTCAGCGATTGTCATTGTTTTTCAGGCAGGGGCCACTTCAGCT